GAGAAAGGAGAAGGTGGAGGGGGGAGAGGGAGGGAGAGACAACAGAATAGAACAGAACAAAAAAGAGGGACTCATAAAATGATTTTATCATAAGATATTTCTGTATTTTTCAGCAATATGGCGAATAACTAACCTTGGTAATCTGGACTGGCCGAGCTCCCTGGAGGAGCCTGCAAGCCTTCGCCGATACACACCGTCGGCTCTGATGAATCTGTGTCAGTCAACAGCCCTCAACCATAACTTCTACTCTACCTGGCCCCTGTATCCGTCTCGAACACAAGCCCCAGAGCTTGTAAACTTGCACACTCTTCAACAACACCAGCACCACTCGTCCTCGCTCCCTGACTCCACCTCCGCCCCGCCCACAACCGCGTCCGTCGCCATGGTGACGTGTGACGTACAGGCCATTCGCTCCGCCCAGTCGTCTGTTGTGACGCAGAACATTGTGCTCACAGTGCTGGTCCTTACGCTGTTTGTGGTAAGCAAGTCTTATTTCAACCGCGTGCGACGGCGGATGGCGAGATGCACCGTGTTTGTTATAGGTAAGTCTAAAAATTTCTTGAACTTTTCAGAAATAATTGCTAAAAGTTATGGTTTAGCGCCCCTTTCAACACTGGAAGGATATGTAAGAGGTGGAACCTGAGAATACAATATCAGTCCACCTCTGATAGGATCGAGCCAAGTGAGTAAGAAGCCATTGAACACCCCCTCCCCCTAACGACAAAAGTTTAAGAAGGGTGTGTTCGCGATTTGAGCCAAGACCATTCACATCATAACTCAGTGTGATATCACCTGTGCTAATGGTTCACCCGCAGTGGGTTTTTTTGTTACTTAACAAATTATCTTAGCTATGATTTTCCTCTTAAAGTTCTGCCTCTCATTGAAACCTGCTCTACAGTAGCATTGGAAACATAGTGACATTTTGATAGAGATAGACCATCAAGTCTTGAGCCTTATAAACTGTTATGTAGGTGTTCTACGCCGCCATCGACGCAATTTAGATCATTTTGGAGATGGGCTTTGACCCTGCCTGCAGGGTCAACTCGGGCGGTGAAGGATGATACAACGTCTCGGTAAAAAGACCGGAATACTTTATAAAAATATCCCCACACGGCAATTGCACTCGGGTCGTCTGCGTACGATAAGGAAGCGCATTACCTCTACCCCACAGACACTGGTATGCTCGGACATTTGATAAGCTTGAAAACAATGGAAGGCTGTTGGGGGAGGGGGGGGTGCGGGGGGATTAAATTGTACCCTAATGTCAGTATGTCAATCTGTACAAAGCCCGGAAAGTTATACTGTAATAAGCCAAGACAAGTCATGCAAAACTAATCGATTTTGCCTTCTGCTCTAGCCCAAAAACTGAAATCTGTCCAGAAAAAGTCTCATCGCCATTTCCAGCAGCTTGGCCAATGTATATGTGTCACGACGCGGTGGAATCGGGCACTCGTCAATGTTTGGACATGTAGAGTTATTGGTATAATCTTAACGGTTGGTTTTTATTGCTTTTGGTGAAAATATACCCATCTATCTTGAAGACAAGTCGAGATATTTACGATTGTAGGAGCTGGGATTATCTGGTATCAAAGATAAAATGGTAGCCAAAGTTTGGGGACTTCCAGAACTGTGATGTCCTTGGCAAATGCAAATTTACATTTTTTCTTTTTGCCTTTGACTTTGACCAACCTTTTCCAGTAAAATCCACACTAAAATGTGTTTGTAAATGGATATGAAAGGTGTTGGGCAGAAAGAAAAAAAGATAAAATTTGCCCACCCGCGGACAAAGGGCTGTTTCTTTGATTTCACTATTTTTGGTGAGCACCTGATTTCACCACGACGCCACACATATTTTTGCCAGCCAAAAGGTTGACACTATAATCTACCCGCCGGAACTACACGTCCAGATTCTCCAGCTACTAGTCAATCTTCGCCAAATGAGAGTGATGCTTGTTATGAGATTTTACAACGTTTTGGGTCAGTTTACGACAGCGTTTTACATCAGTTCAGTTCGTATAATGCAAGACTACGGAGCGGACGGCCCTATGGTTCGAATCCCAGAATTGGTGTTTTTGAACTCGGGTTGTTTTAGGGAGTTTTCAAGGCTCTCAACCCATTTGGCTTGGTGCTATCGGAGACCAGCGTTATATTTGGAGATCCCAGCCTCTTACGTAACCCATACTTTTACTTTTAAATGTTTTTCTCCTTCCGAAGGAAAGCTCACAAATCAATGAGCCCGAACTGCTTCGTCTCTCTTTGAATATTATTTTACTCGTATGTCACGACGACATGAAATAAGGCTTTCGGCAAATTTTGGGCATATTGAAATATTGATAGATCTACCATCTTAAAACTTGTTCGTGTGTCTTGTTTTTAAGTTTTATTTATTTATTTATCTTCTTTTTTTTTTGTAATCACACATCAACTTGAACAGAAGTCGGGATATTTGCCATTGAATGAAGTGGGGGTCGCTGGTATCGGAGGGAAGGTAAAATTAGCGAGAAAATGACCGGCAAAGTTTGATGACTTCCAAAACTTGAGTGTTTTTGGAAACTGCAAATTAACATTGTATGCGCCTTTTATCAACTTTATCAGTAAAATCCATACAGAAACATGTTTTCAAAAGTTGAAAAGGACATAAAATGCATTGAGCCAAGGAAAGAAAAAAGGCTAAAGATTGCCCAACGGGTTGAAAATAACGTGTTGAGGTAGTGTAAGCTTAACCGTTTCACTGCTTTGACGGAGACGGTGTGTACTCTTTGGTGGGATTATAGAGGATGGATGACGGTGAAAGGGTTAAAGAATACAACAAGCATATTGTAAATAATTCATCCTTTTCATGTCATTGCATTGTTCTTTCTGTGCTGAGAGGAGGTTGAGGGGGCCACAGAGTTGGCTTGTACTTCTTCAGTATCCCTCTGTTTATTTCGCTTAATTTTTTTCTATTACGTAATGACCAATTTTCAGTTGGTGTTTCTTTGTTCAACTAAATCAAACCCATTCTGCTCAGAGAAATGTGTGAACGATGATTTCCCTTACTTTTTATATGTATGCTCACAAAAATGATAGAATAATTTATTTTTTTAAAGTCTGTTTCTCAATAAAACACTCCATCATCCTCAATTTTTTACCGATAACAAAAAGTCCATCTATACTTCGGTATATTCATTTCTTAACTATAACAAAACGTCCTTCCATGCTTAGGTGCTTGAAATCTGAATAAAGCTCTAAAATATTCTTTACTCGTAAAAAGGTTCACTCTAAGCTCATGCAGGGGAATTTGAATTATTTTCAATCTTACTGAATTCTATAATCATAAGAAAACGTCCATTCATGCTCGTTTGTGGAAAATCTTATTAAAATTCCATGATATTCAATTTTCTTATTGTAACGAAACATCTTTCTAGGCTCAGATGGGGAAGCACTGGAAATTGATCAGATCTTCATTGGTAAAAAAATGGACCTGATCTGCACGATCAGATCGAAACGATCGGCGTCTGTGGTGTGCCGGTTAGGCGCTACACTGTTGCATACAAATACCCGAGTTCGATTTCCGAGTGGGGAGAAGTTCCATAGTGTATTTCGGTTTTTCTGCTGGGATGTTGTATCGCTTTCAACCCAGATCGGCCCTGACAAGCAGGATCGGGCTTCCACCTCCTAAAAGATCTAAATTGCATCGATTTTTTAAATTTATTTATTTATTTTGTTTTTTAATGTTTATTTATTTATTATTTATTTTATTTTATTTTATTTTTTTATTTTTTTTTTTTGGGGGGGGGGCGTAAAAATACATACTTTCAAAATTGAAACGGATCAGGCTGTGAAGTGGCGTCGGCCAGTGCGCACTATCAAATAGATTTCTGCTTTAGTTTATCAAATTTGAGCTCCGAGTTCATTGGGGCCTATTGCATTCAAAGCTCAAACCAGATTGGCCCCGCGATTCCGTGTGACATACAGTAGCCTTCTGATTAACCGTCTATCATGGTTTTCATCGCTGGCCTAGTGGTTAGGAAACAGGGCTCGTAATCGTGAGATTGCGGGTTCGGAGTTTTGAGCCTCAGCTCGGTTCTATGGTATGTCCTTGGGAAAGGCACTTTACACGAATTTCCTATTTGGCTCAGTCCTTTCAGAAACGGACGTTAAATTCGGAGGTTCCACCCCGCCTCTTAAATAAACTAATGGTATTAAACATAATAATATACCATTTCACCATTTCACGGTTTTCATCCAATGGACCTGACTATCGCCCAGAAAGTCAAATACGTTTGATCTTGGAGGATGAATCCACTTTGCTTAATTAACGGTATCTTTCGTCCATCCATGAGGAAAATTCTGACCGCCATTAATATGAAATGTAAAATAGTATAGGTTTAACACCCCTATAAACATTTTAAAGTTATTTAAGAGGCAACCATCGCCTTCAAATAACAATACTTTTATCGAGTGATATCAAACTATCAAACAGGGATTTGACAAAAGTTTGTGTGGTGTGCGCTGCGTATACGATTCCACTGTGAGCTGCTTAATTATTTAACCATTGTAAAACATCCGACCATGCCCATGTGCCGGGTATTTAAGAAGCATGGACCACCTTCAAATAACTATCAAATTATATCAAATTATCAAACTGGTATTTGATGAAAGTTTCTGTGGTGTGCACTGGGTTTGAAATCCCACTGAAGGCTACTCAATTCTTTAACTATAATAAACATCCGACCATACCTAGGTGCCGCTTTTTCAAGGAGCAGGGACAACCTTCAAATAACTGTTATCAATTTATATCAAACTATCAAACGGCGACTTGATGAAAGTTTGTGGTATGCGCTTGGCATAAGATCCCACTGTTGGCTAGTCAATTCTTTAACTATAACAAAACATCCGACCATACCCAGGTGCCGGTCCCACAGGTCTGACGTCAGCACTCCTGGCCTGTCAGAGCCCTCATGTGTCACGTGTTGTGGTCTACGAGGAGATGCCGAGGGCGGATCTGCTGCAGAAAGGTCACCAGGTCAGTCATATCATAGAGGTCAATATCTTATCTGGTTGTTGTTGTTGTTGCTGTTGTTGTTGTTGTTGTTGTTGTTGTTGTTGTTGTTGTTGTTGTTGTTGTTTTTGGTGGTGGTGGTGGGGGTTTGTTGTGGCGGTGGTGGTGGTTGTTATTGTTGTTGGTGGTGGTGATGGCGGTGGCAGTTGCGGTTGTTGTTGTTGTTGTAGTTGTTGTTGTTGTTGTTGTTTTTGTTTCTACTGTTGTTATTACTGTTGTTGTTGCTGTTGTTAGAAGTAGTGGTAGGGCTGCTGCTGCATGTGATAGTTAGGAATGGTAGTGGTGGTGTTATTGCTATTATTGTTGTCGCTGTTGTGGTTGCTGTCTGTGTTGTTGTCACTGTTGCTGCAGACTGTTGTTGATGTTGCTGTCGTTGTTGTTGTTGTTCCTGCTGTTGATCGCTGATACAGCTGAGTGATGTTGTATTTGTTGTTATTTGCGGCTCCTTCCCTCAATAAGTGGGTGGTTGGCGGATGCTCTGGTGTGGTTTGCTCTTTCTTTCCTATCAAACATCTATCTTCCTTATCTCTTCTCCTTATTTGTGTTTGGTACTTTCTTGTAACACCTCTAATCTTTGGCACGTATAATGTGTCATAATTGTGTTACAAGTGCCGTAAAACTCTTACTAAAACAAAAGCATCCCTCACTAAGTAGCCACTAAGTAAATGACACCTCATAAAAGACAACTAATTGACATAAAAATAACGGTGACAATGGCTCGTCGGAAAAGCTTTACGGGAAGACGGGCCTCCTGTAATTTTAGTGATCGCATTCCCACTTCCCACTACTTCCGAGCTCTTGTCTCGCCTTCATTTAGGACTACACTTGCACTCTGTCAGCTTCCGGGCTTTTGAAACGCGCTCGCTCAATGGGGAAACAATCCAACTGCTTAGAGGGTGGGGGGGGGTGTGTCTGTTTGTGTGTGTGGAGGTTGGGGGGGGGGGGGCTGTAAACTAGGATTCGGAGAATCTGGAGAACAATATTCTCGTTGCCTGACTGATTCAGTATACATGACTGCATGCGTCTCGTTGCCTGGCTGATGCAGTATACATGACTGCATGCGTGTTGATTTTCAAAAAGTGCTTCTTTTGGGTATTTTCATTTTATTCTTATTTTGGTTGTTGTCGATAGTTGATTTTGTATTGGGGTTCTTTGTTGTTGTTGAGGGTTTTTGGGGGGAGGGGTGGTTTGTAATGGTTTGTTTGTTGGATCTTCCTCTGAGATTTTTTGGGGGGTGGGTTTTCTGGGGTTTTAATGATGGATGGGAGAGGGGGGGGGGGTTGTAGGCTGGAATGATACTTGTTCACAAACGTTTTATTGCCGAATGATATCATTTTCGGATGACATAAAGCCAAAGAGGCGTAAAAAGTACTCTAAATGCCTTAAGGCTCGCAGAGTATTCCCACTTGTGCCTTGTTTCGGCTTTCTTTTTAAGAAAAAAAAAGAAGAAAACAACAACAACCTATTCCTATCACTTAGTCGAAATAAAAGACCAAAGGACAAACCGAAAGCCGAATCCATTATTGTGTTTGTACCCCTAGCTTGTTCTACAAAACATTTGCAGTAAAACTACAAAGAACTCAATGGACACCATCCAAAACCAAGCTCTTCGTCTTATCTCTGGCTGAATGAGATCCTCACCGACTGCGGCCTGTGAAATCCACACAAATATTGAGCCATTGGAAACTCGAAGAAAACGGGCAGCTTTGGAAGTATATGAAAGATCTAAAAGGCAAGAAAATAACCACCCTAATAGAATCCTTGTTGACAAGTGGAAACCTAATCAAAGACTAAAAAATACAAAATCTGTACTTGACACTGTTCATAATCTCCAAGAAAAACATCACCTCCCTGAAAGACGAGAACCTCTGGAAAGAGTTCCCTCAACTCCCCCACCACATCTCACCATAGCAAAGCCAGAAATTAGGAAAACGCTTTTTGACAAGAGCAATAAAAACACATATCCTGTAGCACTAAAACATTCTGCCCTTGAAACAATTGATTCCTATCCACCAACATGGATCCACTCATACACTGATGGATCTGCCTTTAAGGCAACAATCAACGCTGGACATGGGTCAGTGATCAACTTCCCCAGTGGGAAAAAAAGAAGTCTTTAATTCCAGCGGGTCCTTCTGCTCCAATTTCATTGCGAACAACAGGCTATCACCAACACAGCAAACTACATCAACTACTTGTTTGACACTAACCCACTTGCTACCACAGACATCGTTATCTTTACAGACAGCCTTTCAACACTAGAGACACTTGAGAGTGGGACTGATGTGAACAAAGATATTATATTGCACTTGATTTGGAGTCTACATAATTTGATAAGTAGGCACCACGTCAGAGTAGTCCTACAATGGATTCCTGTCCACACTGGGATACCGGGAAATGAAAGAGCTGATGCTCTGGCAAAGAAAGGAGCTAGCCTCCCTCAGCCTGAAATACCTATGAATTACACCACCTGCTGCCAAATGATCAAGTCAAACCTCAAGGAAGAGTGGATGAATGATTGGGCCACAGGTACGACAGGAAGGAGGATGTATGGCCACATGAATAAACCACTGGTCAAAGATCCAATCAATGAGTTGAGGAGGGGAGATCAATCCATAATCTTCCAACTTCGAACACAACATGTACCCCTCAACCAACATCTCAACCGAATTGGAGTAAAGCAGTCTGCTGCCTGCCCACTATGTGACTACCCCTCAGAGACAGTGGAACATCATCTGTTCTTCTGTAGAAAACTAATTGATTTAAGGGGATGTTTTCTTCCCAAGCTACCCCACACATCTAATTGCCTCTACTCCTCACGACAACAATTAGAACAAACATGTAACTATTACCGAATGGCATCATGTCATGCAGAAGAGTTAACGCTCGGATGCTACTGGATCGCGAACAACAACAACAACAACCCCTAGTTTGTCCGGGCCATAAAGATACACCTCCCCATAAATAAGCCGTGACAACAGCTTCTTGAGAAATGTTTAGTAACTCGGTGGAAAAGGCAACGTGATCATCTGATTTGTATTTTTTGTTTTTGACATGTTTGTTTGCTGTAGATGTTTGTAAGGGGTTGGGGGGTGGTAGTTGTTTGCTTTTTTATTGTTGTTGTTGTCGAGGGTTCGATGTTGTTGTTGTTTGGTTGGTTGGTTGGTCGGCTGGTTGTTTATTTGGTTTGTTGGTTGGTTGGTTAGTAGGATTTTTTGGAGGGGTGGGGGTAGAGAGGGGGGTGTTATTACTGGGTCAGCATGCTTTCTCTTCCTTATAAGAACTCCAGTGGTAAAAAAAAACGGTTAGTGAGCTTGGGCTCACAGATATTGTCAAACAATGGGGATTCGCAAATTACACGATGTTCAGGTGTGTGGTTATAAAGGTGACCCCAGCTCAAAAGGAGCGTACTAACTAACACACATGATACCGTTTCAGTGTGTGTTCTTTACCATTGATTGGTATGTATGTCACAAACAAATAACCTTGCGAGGATTATTAAAGTTTATTCTTCTTTTCGTTTTTAAAAAATAATTCTGTGTATTTATTTATTTATTTGTTTTGGTCACACTGAGAGGCTAACACCCTAAGTACGATGAGGGTTTTACTTAACCTGTATTTGCATTCTCAGTGTAGTATTTATGATGATCGTAGAAAAGATCTTATACTGCAAGGTGGTTCACTCCACAGTCCTAAAAATCATCCTGAGCAATCATCCAGAAGAGAAAGCAGGTTGACTGAGTGAGCAATGAAGCCCTCCCCCACCCCCCAAAATGGAGCACTTTGTCTTTTAGATATCGTGTTCACATCAATAGAATATTGATTTCTTTTTCACGACTCCTGGCAAATCGGTTCTACTTTTCTAATGCGTGTGATTTAAACCATTACGTTTTCTTCGTTGAGCACAGATGAACATAGAAGAGATCAGTGGAACTTAGTTCCTTTCTTCGTTGTACGCATGACCTCCCTTGTTCAAAAACTTGCGCCGAGCCTAGTTTCCTTGTACTTTCACGATTTTAGCAAGATTTTCACCAAGTATTGCCTGTCTGGATATTTCAGAAAGCCAATTTGGCAGCTAACACGAAACGAATCTAAAAGCACTGATAAACGATCCATTTCCCCCCCTAACGAATGAATCTGAGGAGTGCAAATTAGAAAGCTAGTAAAAAGTGTTCTGACTTGCAAATGCTATTCTAACGAAATGCAATTCCTCCTAAGTCTATTAAATGGCCAGTTCCTTTTGTCCAAAAGCCACTTAGAGGGAAGCTTTGGGGTAAAATCGCTTTGGGGTAAAATCGCTCATTCTGGATACCTGATTACTAAAGGCGATCTGGAGGGTCATCAAAGCTGATCATGAAAGAGATACGTAATCGTGCTGTCAATTCACACTGGATTCTTTGTTTTCTTTTT